TTTTCAGGTACGTACGCCTCTTATGAGGCTTCATGAAGTGGTATATCATAAGCTCTTCAAGAACATATTGCCTCCTTATTATGATCATTGTTGATTATTTGATCTTTCCCCTTTTTTCAACGATTATTTATTTAGAATCGATTAGTCTATCATGCTTCATGCATGTTGTAGACTCGGTCGCTGAGGAACATTCAATAGGAGCATTTGCAACTTTTAGTGGCTTATTATCTCCCCCTTGTGTTACACAAACTAACATATATACCAATCTATTTTCATTTAATCATATACTACACATCAAAATAATCAAATGAAAAATATTTGGGCCCCGACCATGAACTAACTAAGAGAAAAATTGATTATAATTTATTGGTTTGATGCATTCGATTACTTTTGTAAGGAATATATTATATTTCAGACCCATGAAGCTTTGTTTTCGTAAGCAATAATTCCACTATTTATCTGAGACATTTAATATCACATCATCTTGAATAATTATCAAGATAAATTGTCTTGATTACATATTATGAAAATTGTGCTCTTAACTCAATTATCTTGCACAAACAATTTTGCGAATGTCAAACTGTAAGTTGACAACAAATGCACATGTGATTATCTTATAGATGCATCTCTTTATCATATCACATGATAGGTGAATGGGCCCATATTCACCTTTTATTTTTTTAGAATTTAGGAATTTAGTCCGAACATTAGTTCCAGTCAACTTATGACGAGAACAAACAACATAAAGAATTCTTGAAGAATCTTCTAGTTCTTCAATGTATGACTATTACTCAGTATGCACATCTTTGAGATAGTCAAATCATTCATGCCTACTAATAAAATTATTATTACTAGTAAACTCCAAGTTTACTTTGACATGCGCATTTTGCTTTAGTAAATTTCTAATTTACTATTATATGAGCAAATTTCTATTTTATTACTTTGAGAGTAAATTTAAGATTTTTTTTCTTCTCAATTACTCTACCTCTTCTAGAGGTGAGTCTTGATCCCATCACTGAATGGATTAATCTAATTATCAAAAAACTATGAGAATAATAGTATTATTTGTGTCGATCATTTTGCAAATGCCAAGTTGCTAGATGACAACAGGCACACATGAGACCATCTACAAGAAGCATCTATTAGGACCATGAAGTATCTAAACAACCCTTTAGGTGAGTGAATAGGTCCACAATTTTTTTCATATATACATTCCAAGAACACAGGGAACTGAATCTCAACATTTGTTGATGATGGTCTCACAATTAACCTGTGTTGATAACAAGATGTACAGAAAACTACTATTTAAAAGAAATTTTAGGTTCTTTAGTAGATGCCAATTGTAATTTTCTATAATTCGCCTCATCATTATAGACCCATGATGTCCCAGTCGATCATGCCAAAGTATGAAAATATTGAAATTCGTAAACATCTGATTTAGAATAGAATGTGCCTCAATTGCACTAATTCTTGTCAAATACAAATCAAAAGATAAAGTAGAGAATTTTTCGACAAAACATATCTCCCTAGAGACATTCTTATTGATACCACGTCCACTACCAATGGTCGAGACTTTTTCCACGCCTAGCATGGTGGGCATACACCTCATTCACTTCAGAGAATGGATCTGTATGTATATTTTTAACAATTAACAAAAATTCTCATTCTTTATGAATGGAACACAATCATTGCAGCATATCATCTTATGATAGTTTTAGTACCTCATTTAATGTTTATGTGCATTATTCAATCACTTGTCTTCTTTCAGACATATTATGCACGGCTACCACATTCACACAAGGGAATGTATCTATATCTATAGCATTCATCGAAAGTTCTCATTCTTCATGAGTGGAACACATCACCTAAGCATATCATCTTATGATAGTTTTAGTACCTCATTCCATGTTTATATGCATTATTCAATCACTTATCTTCTTTAGACATATCATGCACTACTACCACATTCACTTTAGGGAATGAAGCGGTTTCAATTGAATAGGGTTCATAACTACTTTTCAATAAAAACACATTGTTTTGCATTAGTCATCATTATATCATCAATATGGTTCATTGAGACTCAAACACAACATCTTATCCATATAAAGGCATGTTAGACCATTAATCGATGAAACTTGAACCCAACATCTTTAATTTCATCACGGTGCACCAAGACTCAAACTAGATGTCTTACCCTCTCGGTGTGATTAGACATGAATCCATCGTCTTACCTACTTGATATGATGGAACTTGAATACATTATCTTATTCTCAATAAAAATTACAATACATCAAAATTCACCATCAAACCTTCAGAATATTGCCATTCAATAGTTATATACACAAAAAAAATTAAGTTAAGCAAAAAAAATTAACTAACATGCGTTAACAATGATATAGCAAACATTGATATTACCTTTTACTGATAATTGTTATTTTATTTCTTTTCCCAATTGTAAATCATTGGCAAAACAATGAGTGCAGTAATACATATGTCATTCCCTGAGCCTACACCCTAGACGTGACCGGCACTTGAGAACTATTGTAGGTCCCCAAGCGAATCTTGACCTGGCTAATTACTTAGCATAAGACTTAGTCAATCAAAATAGGAACTGCAAATGCCTAATTAAACTTTAAAGTATAATTCAATACTCAACTTAAATGAACATCCGAAAATACTTTTTAAGTTAACATCAACTATCTCAAAATCTCAAAAATATTTTAATAAGAAGCGGAAAATAAAGAGACTCTTCAACGTCTAACTATCTATGAAGCCTCTAATACTGAGATAGATGTTGGGACAAAACCCACGACAACTTAACGAAAGCAGGAAATAAGTTTGAAGCCTTTCGAAAAGTAAGGAGGCTCACCAAAGCTAGTTGGAGTGCAAATGGTATCAACGAAGCACCTGTTGATGACCCTGAACACTTGTATCTGCATCATAAAAAGATGCAGGTCAAATGACGTGAATACATTAAATATACGAGCATGTAAGGGGGAAACTAAAGTATAGACAATTGAAATACTAAGGTTGGAAGACAAACTTACCTCGACTCAACTCCAGTACAAAAATAATACTAATAGATGCAATGTTTAAACATTATAAAATAGAAGATATAAACTCAATGGTGTATAAAACACAAAAAAAAGATACTCTTTACTCTTGATTGAGAGATTCTCTAACCGACAACCATCACTATGAGCTATGTGATGATACAACGTCTCGCCCATACTGCCAGAACTGTCTTATACCTTGCCTGGGTATAGAACACCTCAACTAGGTGGATCCACTAAGCTATGCTTAAAATCAATAAGGAGTCGTCTAAAAAGTATTATCCTTTACCCATGTTAGCTATATGGTTTATGCGGAATGTGAGTTGTCTGAACTCATCGCCATATCGACACTAAATACTACTCCCAATAGATATACATACTCATGCTCAATGTTGAAACATTCTTTTTCTCAGTTCTAGATAATTACTCAAAAGATCTTCTTAAAAGAGGTAATACTCTGAAACGTATTTGAACTCATAAACTCATTTAGAAATTAAAGTTTCTCTCTTTTAAATGTAAACGTATTACTTTTGGGAATACTTAGTTCTCTTATATCATTTCTCAAACATGAATACAACTCTTCTAATTTCTCATATTTACTTCCTCAAAACTTAGTTGAAAACTATAGTTGACTACAAAAAAATCCTCAAAATGACTAAAAAAGACCTCTTGAACTTTCCTCTTAAACTCACTTTAACTCGGAATGTAAATTAAGATATGTGATTGAACATGTAGGAATTCTCAAAGATGAATGGAGTTTATGAAAGTTAATACAATGGAGAGAACGTAGTCACGACTCAAAGAAATACGTATGGAACGAAGCACAAAAGGAAAAAGGCTAGGTGACTCATGGTGCGGGGCTCTAGGCGCCAAACTACTGGCTGTGGTTTGAGGCGTACTGCTAGCGCTAGGAGCTAGGCCCCAAACTACAGACCAAAGTTGTTGGCACCTTGGTGGCGCGCCACCGCACCACATACTAAAAAATATGACGAATTTTTATACTCAATTTGGGGTCCTAACTCGTATAGAATGGAGGAAATTCTCCTAAACTCTTCTCGATTCTCAAATACAACACGAATACATGAAAAATTTAACACAATCCCTTTGGGAAACACAACTCTTACTACATATTCACAACACACAAGAATTCACAACCTATGTTGTTCAAGAATTGGACGAAAATCAGGAACTACTCAAGAACTACTCGAATATAATGATTTCATGGATAAATCAGATGTATGGTATGAGAAAGAAAAACTCCATCACTGTGAGAAGCCTTACATGCCTGGAAAGAACAATGTTCTTGGCGAAATTGTCAGTTCTTGAAAGAACGCTTGAAACCCGACCATTTTCTCCTCTTTAAACCTCGCTCTAATATTCTAAGTGTTTAGGAACATGAATAAGCGATCTAAATATGATTAGACCCTTATTTGGGGTGAAAAAATGATTTAGGCGTAGTGGGAAAAATGAAAAGACCTAAATACCCTTTTCTAAAACGAATGAAATACCTTAAATAGAGAGGCTTTACTCAAATAGGCATAACTTTTTACTCCTAACTCAAAATTAAGCAAACTTAGGGGCGTTGGAAAGAGGACTCAAAGATATTCAATTTAATAGGCCATGGGTTACCTAATTCTTTATGTGCTAAAATATATTGTCGTTTGAAGTTGACCCAAAGCTAAAAACTAATGGTGTCTTGCACAAACCTCTCTTTAGTTCTCTTCGAAAATTGAGGTGTTACAATATCTCCCCCTTTGAAACATTCGACCTCAATTGAGATCAAATTAAGTAGACTAGAGGGGAAGCATCTAACAACCCAACTCAGGCACACAAGATGCTATTAGCATAATCTCAACATATTAACTTAAAGAGTACTTCACAAAGAGTTAGTACCTTGGTCTAGAATTGATCAGGAAGGAAAGAGGTGAGGGTACCTTTTCTTTATACCCTCCTCAGCCTCCCAAGTATCTTCCTCATCAAATTGATTCCTCCATAATACCTTGACTGATGCAACTTCTTTGGTTCTCAATTTCCGAACCTGACGATCAAGAATCTAAACGAGCATATCCTCATAAGATAAGTTGTCCTTGATACCAATATTCTCAGTAGGTATAATAAGTGAAGCGTCGCCCAAAAACTTCTTTAGCATGGATTTGTGAAACATCGGATGAACTGCTGCTAATTCTGAAGGTAGATCCAACTCATAAGCTACGTTGCCAACTCTCTAAGATATCATAAGGACCAATGTACCGGGAATGAGTTTCCCTTTATTGCCAAATCTCATAACACCCTTCATGGGGAAACCTTCACGTAGACCCAATCATAAACCTCAAATTCTAAGTCTCTCCTTCTAACATCGATACAGGATTTCTGATGACTTTGCGTTGTTTTCAGCCTTTCCTGTATAATCTTCACTTTCTTCATGGCTTGGTGAACCAAGTCAAGCCCTATCAACTCAGCTTCACCAACCTCAAACCAACCAATAGGCGATCTACATCTTTGCCCATAAAGAGCGTCATAAGGAGCCATTTGAATACTAGAGTGATAACTATTATTATATGCAAACTCTATGAGAGGCAAGTGGTCATCTCAATATATCCTCTAGGGTCTGAATTGTGCGCTCTGCTTGGCCATTCGTCTAAGGATGAAAAGCAGTACTCAGATTTACCTTCAAACCCAAACCTTTCTGGAAAGACTTCCAAAAATGAGTGGTGAATTGTGCACCCCTATCTGAAATGATAGACACAAGAACTCCATTAAGTTTGACTATCTCTTGAATGTATAACTTGGCATAATCTTCTACTAAATTTGTAATCTTTATCGGTAAGAAAATGAGTTGATTTCGTCATCTAATCTATAATCACTCAAATCATCTCCGACTTTCATTCTGGGAAGAGATGTGTTTTGAGCCACACCACCGGACATTTGGTGTTCTACTTTGACTTGTTGGAAATTCGAGCACTTAAGAACGAACTCTGCAATGCACCTCTTCCTACTACTCCACCAATAGACTTCTCTTAACTCATGGTACATCTTTATGGGACTAGGATAGATCGAGTATCTAGAACTATGAGCTTCTGCCATGATCTTCTCTTGGAGCTCATCCACCTTTGGTACACACAATCTTCTTTGGTATCTCAATACACCATCTCCCCTCTGTTCAAAAGCCATAACCTTTTGCTTATGAACATTTGTCTTTAGTTCAAGTAAAAGAAAGTTTTATCTTGTTTCTCCTTCACTTCAGACACTAGTGATGATTCAGCCCCATTCATCACCACAACTCCACCTTCACATGAATCTAACAGACGGACTCCCAAACGGGCAAGTCGACGAACTTCTTTGGCTAACTCTTTCTTGTCTTCCTACACATGAGCAATACTCCCCATGGAAAACCTGCTCAAAGCATCAACAACAACATTAGCCTTACTTGGGTGATATAGGATACTCATGTCATAATCCTTCAGCAACTCCAACCACCTCATTTGTTTGAAATTAAGCTCCTTCTGACTGAAGACTCTTGTGGTAGGTGAACACATCCACATGAACACCATATAGATAGTAACGCCATATTTTGAGAGCAAACACTACTGCTACCAACTCGAGATCATGAGTCGTGTAATTCTTTTCTTGAATCTTAAGTTGTCTAGAGGCATAAGCTATAACCTTACCATTCTGCATCAATACACAACCAAGTCCAACTCTGGACGCATCAAATTAAACAACAAAGCCTTTTGTACCCTCTGGTAGGGTCAACACTGGAGCAGTAGTCAACCAAGTTTCAATTCCTGAAAGCTTTCCTCACAAGCTTCAGACCATTAAAACTTAGTCATTTTCTGAGTCAACTTAGTCAAGAGGGATGAAATAGATGAAAACCCCTCGACAAATCTTTTGTAGTAACCAGGCAACCCTAAGAAACTCCTTATATCGGTTGGAGAGGTGGGTCTGGGCCAGTTATGCACTTCTTCAATCTTTTAAACAGATGGTTTGCTCCTCTTCCTGTCCCTGAAGTAGCTTTTCTCGAAGCATCTCTGTCTGCCGGAGCCGCTAAAGAAGATTGGGCTCTGTTACCCCCATTACCTTACTTGTTCTTAGGGAACTCTCTCATAACGTGACCCCTCTAACCACACTTTAAGTAGACATTTGATCCATCATGACACATTTTTGGGTGGTTCCTACCACACTTGGTAAATGTTGGGTCCAAGTAGTCCCTTGTGCCACACTACCATGAGACTAAGTAGGCCAAGCTCTGAAATTCTGGGAGTTCTTGTTCCTAAAATCATTTATGTTCTTTGGTGCAGGCGCATTAGCTGACGATGGAGCACGTCCAGGTGATCTTTGCTGAAAGGATGACCGATTCACATTCCTGGTCTTCTGCTGGTCAGAATCATGATTTGATGTCTTAGCCCTCTTATTTTTAACTCTTCCTTGTCTTTCCACTTATCTTCCTCAACTTGTTGCACATGGATTATGAGCCTCGCTATGTCCATGTCTCCTATCAACATATCTATCTTACCTTCCTTATTTGACAAGCGAGATAGCCCAAACATAGACAAAGTCATTCTGCTCCTCATATCCGCCACCATCTCTAAAGCATAGCAAGGTAGTTGAGTGAACTTGATGTTGTACTCTTGCACACTCATATATTCCAGCTTCATATCCAAAAATTCTCTTACCTTTGTTTTCCTTAGCTAGCAGGGAAAGAAGTGCCTCAAGAAAGACTCTTCAAACACAATCCAACTCAAAGGTGGTGCCCCATCTGCCCTGCTCTTCTTCTATTGATCATGACATATTCTAGCAATACCTTTAAGATTATATAAAGCTAACTCCACATGCTTTGCATCGGCAACACGCATAACTTTAAAAACTTTTTGAAGTTCTTTCACAAAGTTCTTCGGATCCTTAGTGACCTTTGACCCTGAGAACTTTAGGGGATTCATCCTCAGAAACTCACAGATTCTGGATGTATCAGCCACATTCTGACGATCTACTCTTCATTAACCCGCATGATTTGCCACGAGCTTAGTCAACATCTCGATAACATTCCTGAATTCAGAATTTGTGACATCTCCTTGATGGGGTTGCACTTCTGGTGCATTGGGAATTTCTTGACCCTGAGGATTCACATTCCTCCAAGAAAGACGTCCTCAGACAGATCTTTGTGGAGGCATGATCTTAAAAGACACGTTTAAGCACGAATTAGAGGAAACTTTCATAGAGTTGAACTCTATCGCATGAAAAGGAATAAGAAGAGAGTGAAATATTTCCTAAATTTCGTAGCCTCTAAATTATAGATGTGGCGTGCTTAACACCGATAAAAATGACTCTACCGACACGGCTTCATAGACACCCTAGGACACTTGAATACCGTGCTCTAATACCAAGTTTGTCACCCCTCGAGCCTACACTAATTAACATCTAAAATACACCTCATCCGATTCTAGGTGTGGACGATCATTAATTAGTATAAAACACAACAAAGAGTTCGGGTCAATTCCACAGGGAATAGTATGAGTTAGAATTCAATTATGAAGTAGTAAATGTGATTCAATCGGTTGTAGGAATAAAAATTATCGAAATTACTTAAATAAGTCAAAAAGGTGACATAAATGTTAGGTGGGGGATTTCAATATCAATCAACAACCACACAATAATGAGTGACAGGGGTAATCAAATGATTAAGGGATACTTAATTAGGAGATTGACCGATTAACTACCAAATTATGCTAAATGGGTGCTAGTTAATTTCTGAAAGTTACTAACTCATCATGGGTAGAATGAACTTTAGATGAGAAAGCTTTCTCTCGATTAACTGACACGATTCATGTCAGTTCTCTCGAACCTCAATAGGCAAAACACTAAAACCAGCCCACAATCTCACTTCATCTACTCTTTCGAGCTAGATAGGCAGAGAAGGGCTTAGAATTCACTCTCTCGAGCTAAACCCACAATAACCCAATCACCACAAATGCTAATTTAGAGCCTCAGTTTTATACCTCTCTCTCAAGAAAGCATAAAACACTAAACAACATTGGGTTAAACACCCCAACACAACAATTTAACACCAACACTAAATTAGACCCACTTCAAATTAGCAATACATTCAATAATTTCTAACACCCATCAGCTAAATTAAGCAATTAATCACATGGTCAAACTCCCAAGAATGGGATTTTAGCTATTCATCATAAAAAGTAAAAATTCAATACCTATTACATGCTCCATAGCTCGGTATGATTTTCAAAACCTTAAAATGAGGAAATTTTACTTTAATTACAAAACCCAAATCGAAATCTACTTGAAAATTGCTTCAAAAATCAACAAGAACAGTGTTTACGTTCTAAACCTGAATTTTCACAATGTTTGGATGCCTTTTCTCTTTTTAAAAATTAAATTTATACTCTTTCAAAATTTGGCCTTTGTGGTAAATCAATGGATTAAGTCGTGCTTCGCCAACCATTTGGCGAATCACCTAATGCTACTGTCCATCACCGTCTACGCTCAAATTCTCAGCCATTTCATGATGTAACTTTCAGCGATCTCAGCCGGGGTCGCCAATCGGTTTTGCAATGTGCTCTTTGCTCCTTTAGATCGCCTTTCTGCTCGCAGCCTCACTAAAAGTTCTATAAATTTCAGCGATCTAACCTCTCATCGCTGATCCGATTGGCGATTCACCAATGGGGAATGTTGTTCACCCAATTTTTCTTTACCCAGAAGTGGCATACTGTAACTTTGGGCGGGGTAAAGAGCCACTCGGCGGTTCGCCGAGTGGTCTTGGCGATCACCAGGATCGCTTTTCTTTACTTCTTCAGCTTGTTTGTTCCTTTTTGTCAGCAGTGTCCTCTACTTTCTCCTTAGCCTTTAATGCTGCAAATCAATACCTTAACATCAGTTTAGAGCACAAATTAGGCATTTGAGGACACTTATAGTATCAAAACAAAGCCCTAAATGAGTCAAAATCTCGAACTCATCAACACCCCCAACTTAAACTTTTGCTTGTCCTCAAGTAAAACTCAAGATCAACAGGTTCAACAAGGATGTATACAAACAGTGTTGCATAAGACTCAACATAAATGTACACAACAAGGTTCGAACTACTCATACAATGATCAATATTGCTCTCCAAGTTTCAAATTGTGATTCACCATTATCAAGTGTACTCAAGCTCACAATGCTTGCTTCAAATGCAAGTTCAAGCTCAACAAAGGTATTCAAATGCCCTCTCAGCAAAGATGATTCCCTATTCGCACAAAATTTACCAGCAAGTTAATGTTCCGGAATCACATACAACTCTCACACTCACAAAGATGAACACATGTATGACTCCATAAATAGGTTTGCCCTTATTTTTCAATCAATATTTGTTTCAGCTCACTCAAGATCACAAAACTCTTTTTAAGGCTTGTAACGAAGCTGAGTGTCAAGGTATGGTCATTTAGGTTTTAGTAGCTTCTACCTTCATGAAGTGTGACCTGAAAATCATTTTCTCCTTCTCTTTCTTATTCAAACATGATCATAATCCACCCCATTAT